TGCTTCCAACCTTCTTCAACAAGACCCGCTACACTACAAGCCTTTAAGATCGAAAGGAAAGTGACCTCATTTGGTGTGATGTTTTCTTGTTGCATAAGGGTAAAAAGGTCAAGATACTCTTTACCATAACCATGTATCGCTAGTCCTCCCATGGCACCACTCCATGTGTACACATTCTTTTCTTTCATCCCCCCAAAAACATTCATTGCCGTGTTAACAACCCCACACTTTGCGTACATATGGACTAGTGCACTACCAAGAGTTGTGTTGATTTGTAGTTTTTTATACTTTATATATCTATATGCCCGTTGTCCCGCATCTAAAGCACTTAACCGAGTGCATGCAGATAACACATTAACCTTCACACCTTTCATTTCCATTGCGTTAAACAGTTCAAGTCCGTTTAAAGGCTCCCCGAAACGCACGTACCCTGCTTTCATTGCGTTCCAGGCAATCACATCTCGGTCGAGCGTTATTTCAAACTGTTGGCGTGTGAATTTGATATCTCCTAACTTTGCACAGGCGACCACCATTGTTGTCTGAGTTACCAAATCTGGGTTGTTGATGCTAAAAAACATATCTTTTAAGTCCCTAAGAGACCCCATTTCAGCGTACAAATTAATCAACCCGCTTTGAACATGTGGGTCTTGATCCAAGGCGTATTTCAAAGCAGTCCCATGTACAGCAGCAGAATTGATCTAGAACGTAAACAAGTAATTATCAGGTTTATGATTCGATTTTACAATTCTTTTATAGAAATCGAAGCTTTTTTCAGGAGTTGAGCTCTCTTGGAGTAAACTTGATTAGAGAGTTTAAAGCAAAGACGGAGGGATTTTCACATTGGTCCAATAGTTGAACAGAATAATCGATATTTTGTGGGTGTTTGAGGGCTATTGATGCAGCAAATTTAGATACAAGATTGGGCCGTTGAGGAAACCATTGACTAGCAATTGTGAGTGAATTTACTTTTTTTTTTGTTTGTCATTAATTTCATAAAAGGAAAACTCTCGATATTATGTGGCCAAAATAGCTTACCTAACATATACGAGAATTAATAAACAATTTCTTCTTATCAGAAAGTTGTTTAACGACATTACATGCCTTGGATATCTTCATACCAACCAACCTAATTAATGTAAGTCTCAAAAAAAACTCATGACACGTTGATTATTTATTGATCAATCATATCACTGTGCATTACCTATTTATACTTGGTGCCTTGTACATTATTTTTCACAGGTTAATCTACTTCATTAATCTTCGATCACCTCTCAGAATCTTTTGACTCATCTTTAGCAACTCAAAAAAAATCCTACAATGGCTTCCACCTCCTACCTTTACATTTTTGCAATTGCACTATTCTCAATTACAACAAATGAGATGTGTTTTGCTTCCCGCAATTTGCTGCAAGCAACCACATTCCCGACACTACCACAACCACAGATACCAACAATCCCGACAATGCCACAGCCACAGATACCAACAATCCCGACAATGCCACAACCACAAATGCCCACCATCCCCACACTGCCACTACCACAAATACCCAGCATCCCTAACATGCCCAAAGTTTCCTTGCCTCCATTGCCTTCTATGCCTACCATCCCTAACTTTCCAACAACTCTTCCCAATATTCCTTTCTTTGCTCCACCACCTTCCAAGAACTAGATTGTACAACAATATCAAAAGAAAAGAAAATTCCATTATAGAGCTCAGGCTATTTGATTGATCCGGAGATTATAATGTTTTTTATTTGATCGCATTCATGATATTTGTGGCTAGATTAAATTATTGTCGAGTGCTCTCATTCACATGTTTTTGTGTTTTGTGTAATTTGATATACTTTGTAATATATTTTTTCTATTAAGGTTGATGATTTCCATTACTTTATATCTCAAGTGTTTCCTCATAAATAAAATTAGGCAACATGTTTGATATATATTAACACTACATAACAAAAAATTATTAAAAATATAAGTTATTAAAAACAATTATTTCATTTTACGTTTACTGTAAAATTATGAAAATCTTATAATAAGCTGAAGTAGATAATATAAAACAAATATATTACAATCACATTAATCAATGGCCAGAGTGGCTGTCGGTTGTGGTTTTGCGTCAGATACCAGGAGCAGAGAGAGAGAGAGAGAGAGAGAGAGAGAGAGAGAGAGAGAGAGAGAGAGAGAGAGAGAGAGAGAGAGAGAGAGAGAGAGAGAGAGAGAGAGAGAGAGAGAGAGAGAGAGAGAGAGAGGGAGAGATTTAGGAGATATTTGAGTGTATTTGGAGAGAGATTGACTATACTGTGTCACGTATCTAGCCAGGCAATGCAGTGTCGCATCTCGATTTTTGCGAAAAATGATGGAGTGCTTTTAAAATACTAGCTTATATTACATTTTATAAAATATCAAAATGTTGTTGTGTACACGACTAATAAACAAGAAAGGTGTACTACCATAAGCATATCTAGGTGGTTCCCGTGGTAGGCGAGGAAAAATTTTGGGGATAGCCTTTTACTTTGATCTTGGATCCGCCACTGTGTATATGTACTAAGAGTTGAGACATTGGCAACCACCCATGTGTAGATAATGAAATAAGTATTTCAAGGTAAGTTCATATAAGTAATATTATACAAAAGCCCTAGATTTTACGCAATTCTTTTGTTACTAACCCCTAGGAAAAATATTTGAATTTTAATTATTAAATTTATAATCTAAAGATTGATATGCGAAACATTTTGTTACATATTTAAATGAAAAGCTAGAAGCATTTATCAAGGATTGCGTGATGTTGTTATTATGTTTCCCATGCCTACAAGTTTGAAAGACATCAAACTACTTTAGTAGGTATATACAAAGTGCTACTATTCATATTTGGATTATAACTTTTAGCCTTTATAATTTTGTTCTTTCAATTAATTTGTCATCTATTCGTTAAGTTGCTACTATCCATATTTGGATTATAACTTTTCAGCTCTAATTTTGATGTTTGTGATATGATTTCAGGAAGCAAATATGGCAACCAACAACAAGTCTTGTATTTTGCCAGTTATATCTTCCATCTTCTCAACTGTTCTTAAACATCAATTAAACACTATATCTTTAAAGCAGTTAATGTGGAAAAAAATAGTCTTAACTATACCTCTTTATGATGTTCGTTGATTTCTTAACATGTGCTTTTACTATATAAAACATTTACTTTTTTCATTCTTTTACAACCACTACCATATGATTGATTGGTTTGTCACTATCGCCAAAAGTGGATGGAAAAGCATGTTTATGGTATTGAAATTTCCCATGTTTTTTAGTATAGCGTGTTCATATAATTTCTAATTATGGGAACATTTAATTTGAAAGTATAATGCTAGTTTTTTTATTCGAGTTGAAAGTATGTTATTATTATAACATGATATGGCTTAATGTTAAATTTGGTGTAAACATTTTTATTATTTCTTTGCTAATTTGGAAGTTCATATGTGACATTTGGGTACGGATTAGTGATAGATTCAACACCTAATAGACCATTGCTAGTTATATTAGTAACAATCATTAAATATATAGAAAAATTGTTCTTTTATAGATAATCAACAACGGATAAGCGACGATAATTAGCGACAGATCTTTGATAAATGTACTTGATCGAAAGTCTTCCGCGATACCCCATCCCTCGTTGATCCGTTGCCGACCATTAGCGATCATTGATTCGTAACTGATGACCTTAGCGACGGATTTCCCGATGGAAATGTCCATCACCGATACCAACGTTTCTATTAGTGCACCACATATGAAAATCACATCAATCAATGGCTTCCACCTTCTGTCTCCGTGTAACTAAAACTAAATTTAATTAGTTCTAGATTTAATGTTATACTTTTAACTATTATCATGATTATTTAATCCAAATTTTACTTATCTAGTCAATTTCAAATTTCAATTATGATGATATGCGAAAATACTAACCATTGGTTGTACGTGAAAAAACGTATTATGATTTGATGTTATTATTAATTATTAATATTGTGCATTATTTTTAAACTAGTTATTACTATTAAAAAGTTATGAAAGATCATCCATTAGTTATTTTAAAACCATTAATTATTATTATTAATAAATAATTCAAAAGTTACAATTCCATGTCTAGGTAGAAAATTTTATTTTCTTTGCACTTATGTGAAATCTTGTTACGTTTTATGGGTAATAAGATTTACATAATTAAAGGATGTTGTGTGAGAAGTAAAACTAGTGAACCATGTATGCAAGTTTTGTAAAGGGGAGTTCGTATACTATGTTCATATATGTACATGATTTGGGTCGTAACCTTGTAATAACAAGAGCTGAACATAATCCGGGTTAGTCCAATTCTAAACCGGTCCATAAATTGGGTCCAATCACTACTATCTTCATACCTATTTAGGTGGTGACATGTGTCATTCAATTTAACTTAAATTAGATTGAAATGTTAAATTTGTACACTTGTCACAATCATAAATATGTATGAATAAAAGGTAAGAGGATTTTTAATTTCTCTGAACTAAATATAGTTGAGGCAATTGTAAAGGCTAGTTTTATTAGATTCCTTTTGTTTGATCTATGTTCATATATGTACATGATTTGGGTAGTAACCTTGTAATACCAGAGTTGAACATAATCTGGGTTAGTCAGATTCTGAACCGTCCATAAATCGAGTCCCATTAAAATATAGGCAAATGTGGATCGACATAAATATTGTTGAGGCAATTGTTAAGGCCAGTCTGGTACCGGTACCGTGGTCTAATTTTTTTTAATAATAAAAACAATTTTTTTAAATACCTTATAACACTTTTAAAAATTATAGAGCATTAAGTGGTAAAAATTTATAAAATGACTTTTTTTAAAGTAATTAACTAAATGTTTTATAGAACTTACAAAAAATGCAATGGAAACTAAAAACATTCCAAAAAAATGCATTGAAATGGCAAGAACTAAAATACCCATTAAACTTGCAAGAATTACAAAAACAAGCAATTAATTCGTGACAACAGCTTTTGACTTCATTTTATGCCTCACAACATCAACACCATTCAAATTCTTAAAATCCGCAAAAACATTCGACAACTCCACATATACGGACAACTCCACATACGCACCTTCATTGTTAGCCTCTAATTCCTCCATCTTTCTAGACGCAAGTTTAGCCATTTCCACATTTTTATAAATCGTGTTAGGATTTAGCAGTGCACCCCATGCTTCAGCAATCGGGGCACATGACATACTCTGGATGAAGCGTAATGATTCATCCAAACGGCTCAATCGGCCGTATAAATCAACCATACATCCATAATGCTCTACTCTTTGGTCATAGATTTAGAATGCTTCCAACCTTCTTCAACAAGACCCGCTACACTACAAGCCTTTAAGATTGAAAGGAAAGTGACCTCATTTGGTGTGATGTTTTCTTGTTGCATAAGGGTAAAAAGGTCAAGATACTCTTTACCATAACCATGCATGGCTAGTCCTCCCATGGCACCACTCCATGTGTACACATTCTTTTCTTTCATCACCCAAAAAAACATTCATTGCCGTCTTAATACCCCCACACTTTGCGTACATGTGGACTAGTGCACTACCAAGAGTTGTGTTGATTTGTAATTTTTTATACTTTATATATCTATATGCCGGTTGTCCCGCATCTAAAGCACTTAACCGAGTGCATGCAGATAATACATTAACCTTCAAACCTTTCATTTCCATTGCGTTAAACAGTTCGAGTCCGTTTAAAGGCTCCCCGAAACGCACGTACCCTGCTTTCATTGCGTTCCAGGCAATCACATCTCGGTCGAGCGTTATTTCAAACTGTTGGCGTGTGAATTTGATATCTCCTAACTTTGCACAGGCGACCACCATTGTTGTCTGAGTTACCAAATCTGGGTTGTTGATGCTAAAAAACATATCTTTTAAGTCCCTAAGAGACCCCATTTCAGCGTACAAATTAATCAACCCGCTTTGAACATGTGGGTCTTGATCCAAGGCGTATTTCAAAGCAGTCCCATGTACAGCAGCAGAATTGATCTAGAACGTAAACAAGTAATTATCAGGTTTATGATTCGATTTTACAATTCTTTTATAGAAATCGAAGCTTTTTTCAGGAGTTGAGCTCTCTTGGAGTAAACTTTGATTAGAGAGTTTAAAGCAAAGACGGAGGGATTTTCACATTGGTCCAATAGTTGAACAGAATAATCGATATTTTGTGGGTGTTTGAGGGCTATTGATGCAGCAAATTTAGATACAAGATCTGGGCCGTTGAGGAAACCATTGACTAGCAATTGTGAGTGAATTTACTTTTTTTTTTGTTTGTCATTAATTTCATAAAAGGAAAACTCTCGATATTATGTGGCAAAATAGCTTACCTAACATATACGAGAATTAATAAACAATTTCTTCTTATCAGAAAGTTGTTTAACGACATTACATGCCTTGGATATCTTCATACCAACCAACCTAATTAATGTAAGTCTCAAAAAAAACTCATGACACGTTGATTATTTATTGATCAATCATATCACTGTGCATTACCTATATATACTTGGTGCCTTGTACATTATTTTTCACAGGTTAATCTACTTCATTAATCTTCGATCACCTCTCAGAATCTTTTGACTCATCTTTAGCAACTCAAAAAAAATCCTACAATGGCTTCCACCTCCTACCTTTACATTTTTGCAATTGCACTATTCTCAATTACAACAAATGACATGTGTTTTGCTTCCCGCAATTTGCTGCAAGCAACCACATTCCCAACACTATCACAACCACAGATACCAACAATCCCGACAATGCCACAACCACAAATGCCCACCATCCCCACACTGCCACTACCACAAATACCCAGCATCCCTAACATGCCCAAAGTTTCCTTGCCTCCATTGCCTTCTATGCCTACCATCCCTAACTTTCCAACAACTCTTCCCAATATTCCTTTCTTTGCTCCACCACCTTCCAAGAACTAGATTGTACAACAATATCAAAAGAAAAGAAAATTCCATTATAGAGCTCAGGCGATTTGATTGATCCGGAGATTATAATGTTTTTTATTTGATCGCATTCATGATATTTGTGGCTAGATTAAATTATTGTCGAGTGCTCTCATTCACATGTTTTTGTGTTTTGTGTAATTTGATATACTTTATAATATATTTTTTCTATTAAGGTTTATGATTTCCATTACTTTATATCTCAAGTGTTTCCTCGTATATAAAATTAGGCAACATGTTTGATATATATTATATATACAATTAATTTCGATTGCTCTTATCTACAGTAGCAGGTTTTGAGCCAAGCCAAACCATATTTCCTTTGGCTGGCTGGTTTGAGCCTCGCTTATATCGGGCTCTGGTCGTTGAAATGGTACATGTCTGCTGCCCTCGCCACTATACTGCTTGATATCTATACACGTAGTACAACATCGTTTTTTCCATTGATTTCTCTTTCATCCGCCGCCTGTAATTCAATTCGATTCTCCGTCTTCAATTTTTTTATCTACACAAATACCGGCGAACCTGATAAAGGTTTCTTTTGCATTTTTTGAAATTGCACACCAAGATTTTTATGCTCCGAATCATCTTTCACGGAGGTTTTCTCCTAATTTTTATTATCGATATGAATCCTGTTCCCCTTCACCGACGAAGTTGTTCCACCGTCTTCTACACCGTACGTCTTTTCTATCTATACTCTATTTTCTCAATTTTGTGGCTGTTCTTTCCGATTTCCGATCGTCGTTCTCTTTCGCAACAATCTGAATTATAAATTCGGTTATGGCCCCAGTTTTTTAGTTTATCCAATGTGCGCCATTGGTGGTTTGGCCGACGGCTTTACAGTTTCCATTCCCGACTCCTTCAATCGCAATCTCCACCGTGTATTAGTCTGTCTTAATTTGTGGTTAGAAGTCGTTGACTTTAGCTAAGGTCCATCTTCTACTATTGATTTTAGCCCTAGATCGATTGAAGCCTTAAATAAAATTTGTTCTCCTTCCACCTCTTCGATTGCAATCATCTGCTATCTCCGCAATTGACGATGCCATCAGAAGCTTCGCCGCCTCCGGCAACGACGCCGACCTCCTGTTGCAGGTGATTTTTTTTCTCTCCTGAAAATAGATTCTCATAAATAGATCGATTGTAAGTTTTTGGATCTGTTATTCAAGGAGCGAATAACATGGTAAAATCTTGAAGGGGGCGGTCTGGAAGCATGACAGACCACTAGAGTTTTCGGATCCTGGGGAGCCAGTAGTGGGATCGTAGTAGCAGTTGGGTCCGTCCTTTTCTGAGTTTGGGAGTTTGGGATCAGGTATCACTGGAAGATAGTGTGTGGTATGAAATCCTCTTGGGTAGTGCTTCGCGGGCTGTTAGGTATTGATCTGTGAGGTGCTAAAGAACGATTTCAAGGGCGAAATCAAATTAAGTGGGGGAGAATTGTAACATCCGTAATTTCGGGTATGATAGTTTGCGATTTAATTTTTGAGGATTTAAGAGGGACTCGACGAGTCGAAGGTCTGACTCGCCGAGTCACGTCGAGTTGATTATGTAGATTTAATGAGCAGGCTCGACGAGTCGAAAGATAGACTCACCGAGTAGGTTATGGGCAGAGAAAACCTAAGTTTCCGGGGTTGGGGCCTATTTAAGGGAACTTATGACCTTAGGTGTGCCTCATACCTCCTATGAGAAGCCCTAAATTGCCATTGGATCCATGAGATAGTTCTTATGATGAAATCAAGTAATTTGGTGGGTCTTATGGAAGGAAAAGAGCATGATTCAAGCAAGAAACGAGATGGTGGTTGTGGATCTAGCATTTCTTCATGTGGAACTGTTGTAGAAGGTATAAACTTGCATCCTTTTCATCTATTTTGGTTAGATTTCATGATCTTGGTAGTTATAGGGTTTTACTGCATTTCTTTTGTGCCTATGAGATAATTGAGACATGATCTGAGGAGGGAAACCTTATATCTGAACCTTGTGAGGTCCTTGAAGACTAGATGCCCCAACTTTAGTTGTCCAAATGATGACTGATGAGCTAAATCTTTCATGGAGGGCATGTAATGGCATTTTGAAGCAATATCATCATGCATGAACGTAAAGATTGAAGCTTTACGTGATTATTGAGCCTTGAGATGATAGATCTATAGTTTAGAGTGATAGATCTGATTGAAATCGTCTGAATGAGAAAAGGGTGGATAGACTCGTCGAGTCCATGAGACGACTCAACGAGTCGGCTAGGGTTTTCCTGGTCAAGCTGAATCGTACTAACTCGGCGAGTTGTGGGGTTAACTCGACGAGTGGATTTGAATCCTCGCGAAACTTCAGAGAAAGTGAGTGGACTCGACGAGTCACAAGGGTGCACTCGCCGAGTCGGGTCAGATCTAGACTGTAGACTCGAGTTTGACTACAGTTGACTTTAGGGTTGGGTCAACCATGTGTGATGGAAGCCATGGAGGGGTAAAATGGTCTTTTACCCACTTCAAGAGTTAGACAGAGAAAGATAATACACTTGGATGTGTTTGAGTATGAGTAAGTATTGCTAAGGGATGTTTATCCTATGTGTTAGGTGAAAGCTAGGTCGAGATTTCCGAGTGCGAGGCTGTCAGTTGGTTGCTTTCAAGGTGAGTCTTCTCACTATACTTTACCTAGAGTGGTAATTATGTGTGACCGGAAGGTTTTATGTGCTATAATGAGTATGTGATGTATGTTGTTATATGATATGTATGGGCTATGATATGTTATGAGTAGTATGATGTGGACCGGAAGGTCAACGGTGTATGGGCTGGAAGGTCAAGATGATATGGACCAGAAGGTCTACCAGGATTATGGGACTAAAGTCCCCTGAGACACATTGACTGGAAGGTCTCGTAGAGTTATAGCATTGAGTGGCTAATTGTATGCACGTGATATTTTGGGAAAGTCACTAAGCATGTGTGCTTACCGTGTTATGTGTTATGCGTTTCAGGTTATTATCAGGATCGCGGGAAGGTGGCGTCTCGATTTTACACACAAAAGAAAAGAGTCATGAATGAGGATCCTGAATTTTGATAATTACTTTTGAAAACTATTTCGAAATACGTTATGACATCGATACTCGAGATTTTTTGAATTATTATATGTGACGTTGGAAATTTAAAATTGAAAATTTTGTTTGAAAATTTATGGTGTTACATGAACAAGACAGGTGTGCTACCATAAGCATATCTAGGTGGTTCCCGAGGTAGGCAAGGGAAAATTTTAGGGATAGCTTTTTACTTTGATCTTGGATCCGGCACTGTGTATATGTACTAAGAGTTGAGACATTGGCAACCACCCATGTGTAGATAATGAAATAAGTATTTCAAGGTAAGTTCATATAAGTAATATTATACAAAAGCCCTATATTTTACGCAGTACTTTTGTTACTAACCCCTAGGAAAAATATTTGAATTTTAATTATTAAATTTATAATCTAAAGATTGATATGCGAAACATTTTGTTACATATTTAAATGAAAAGCTAGAAGCATTTATCAAGGATTGCGTGATGTTGTTATTATGTTTCCCATGCCTACAAGTTTGAAAGACATCAAACTACTTTAGTAGGTATATACAAAGTGCTACTATTCATATTTGGATTATAACTTTTAGCCTTTATAATTTTGTTCTTTCAATTAATTTTCATATATTCGTGAAGTTGCTACTATCCATATTTGGATTATAACTTTTCAGCTCTAATTTTGATGTTTGTGATATGATTTCAGGAAGCAAATATGGCAACCAACAACAAGTCTTGTATTTTGCCAGTTATATCTTCCATCTTCTCAAGTGTTCTTAAACATCAATTAAACACTATATCTTTAAAGCACTTAATGTGGAAAAAAAAGTCTTAACTATACCTCTTATGATGTTCGTTGCTTTCTTAACATGTGCTTTTACTATATAAAGCATTTCCTTTTTTCATTCTTTTACAGCCACTACCATATGATTGATTGGTTTGTCACTATCGCCAAAAGTGGATGGAAAAGCATGTTTTTGGTATTGAAATTTCCGATTTTTTTAGTATAGCATGTTCATATAATTTCTAATTATGGGAACATTTAATTTGAAAGAATGTTGCTAGTTTTTTTATTCGAGTTGAAAGTATGTTATTATTAATAAAATGATATGGCTTAATGTTTAATTTGGTGTAAACATTGTTATTATTTCTTTGCTAATTTGGAATTTCATATGTGACATTTGGGTACGGATTAGTGATAGATTCAACACCTAATAGACCATTGCTAATTATATTAGTAACAATCATTAAATATATAGAAAAATTGTTCTTTATAGATAATCAACAACGGATAAGCGACGATAATTAGCGACAGATCTTTGACAAAATGTACTTGATCGAAAAGTCTTCCGCGATACCCCATCCCTCGTTGATCTGTTGCCGACCATTAGCGATCATTGATTCGTCACTGATGGCCTTAGCGACGGATTTCCCGATGGAAATGTCCATCACCGATACCAACGTTTCTATTAGTGCACCACATATGAAAATCACATCAATCAATGGCTTCCACCTTCTGTCTCCGTGTAACTAAAACTAAATTTAATTAGTTCTAGATTTAATGTTATACTTTTAACTATTATCATGATTATTTAATCCAAATTTTACTTATCTAGTCAATTTCAAATTTCAATTATGATGATATGCGAAAATACTAACCATTGGTTGTACGTGAAGAAACGTATTATGATTTGATGTTATTATTAATTATTATTATTGTGCATTATTTTTAAACTAGTTATTACTATTAAAAAGTTATGAAAGATCATCCATTAGTTATTTTAAAACCATTAATTATTATTATTATTAAATACGTCAAAAGTTACAATTCTATGTCTAGGTAGAAAATTATTTTCTTTGCACATATGTGAAATCTTGTTACGTTTTATGGGTGATAAGATTTACATAATTAAAGGATGTTGTGTCAGAAGTAAAACTAGTGAACCATGTATGCAAGTTTTGTAAAGGGGAGTTCGTATACTATGTTCATATATGTACATGATTTGGGTCGTAACCTTGTAATAACAAGAGCTGAACATAATCCGGGTTAGTCCAATTCTAAACCGGTCCATAAATTGGGTCCAATCACTACTATCTTCATACCTATTTAGGTGGTGACATGTGTCATTCAATTTAACTTAAATTAGATTGAAATGTTAAATTTGTACACTTGTCACAATCATAAATATGTATGAATAAAAGGTAAGAGGATTTTTAATTTCTCTGAACTAAATATAGTTGAGGCAATTGTAAAGGCTAGTTTTATTAGATTCCTTTTGTTTGATCTATGTTCATATATGTACATGATTTGGGTAGTAACCTTGTAATACTAGAGTTGAACATAATCTGGGTTAGTCAGATTCTGAACCGTCCATAAATCGAGTCCCATTAAAATATAGGCAAATGTGGATTGAAATAAATATTGTTGAGGCAATTGTTAAGGTCAGTCTGGTACTACCTGTACCGGTTAAGTTTTATTAGATTCCTTTTTTCTGATCTAATGTGCTTGGTCTTTTTTTTTTTTAATAATAGAAACAATTTTTTTAAATACCTTATAACACTATTAATAATTATAGAGCATTAAGTGGTAAAAATTTATAAATTGACTTTTTTTAAAGTAATTAACTAAATGTTTTATAAAACTTACAAAAAATGCAATGGAAACTAAAAACATTCCAAAAAAATGCATTGAAATGGCAAGAACTAAAATACCCATTAAACTTGCAAGAATTACAAAAACAAGCAATTAATTCTTGACAACAGCTTTCGACTTCATTTTATGCCTCACAACATCAACACCATTCAAATTCTTAAAATCGGCAAAAACATTCGACAACTCCACATACGCACCTTCATTGTTAGCCTCTGATTCCTCCATCTTTCTAGACGCAAGTTTAGCCATTTCCACATTTTTATAAATCCTGTTAGGATTTAGCAGTGCACCCCATGCTTCAGCAATCGGTGCACATGACATACTCTGGATGAAGCGTAATGATTCATCCAAACGGCTCAATCGGCCGTATAAATCAACCATACATCCATAATGCTCTACTCTTTGGTCATAGATTTAGAATGCTTCCAACCTTCTTCAACAAGACCCGCTACACTACAAGCCTTTAAGATTGAAAGGAAAGTGACCTCATTTGGTGTGATGTTTTCTTGTTGCATAAGGGTAAAAAGGTCAAGATACTCTTTACCATAACCATGCATGGCTAGTCCTCCCATGGCACCACTCCATGTGTACACATTCTTTTCTTTCATCACCCAAAAAAACATTCATTGCCGTCTTAATACCCCCACACTTTGCGTACATGTGGACTAGTGCACTACCAAGAGTTGTGTTGATTTGTAATTTTTTATACTTTATATATCTATATGCCGGTTGTCCCGCATCTAAAGCACTTAACCGAGTGCATGCAGATAATACATTAACCTTCAAACCTTTCATTTCCATTGCGTTAAACAGTTCGAGTCCGTTTAAAGGCTCCCCGAAACGCACGTACCCTGCTTTCATTGCGTTCCAGGCAATCACATCTCGGTCGAGCGTTATTTCAAACTGTTGGCGTGTGAATTTGATATCTCCTAACTTTGCACAGGCGACCACCATTGTTGTCTGAGTTACCAAATCTGGGTTGTTGATGCTAAAAAACATATCTTTTAAGTCCCTAAGAGACCCCATTTCAGCGTACAAATTAATCAACCCGCTTTGAACATGTGGGTCTTGATCCAAGGCGTATTTCAAAGCAGTCCCATGTACAGCAGCAGAATTGATCTAGAACGTAAACAAGTAATTATCAGGTTTATGATTCGATTTTACAATTCTTTTATAGAAATCGAAGCTTTTTTCAGGAGTTGAGCTCTCTTGGAGTAAACTTTGATTGGAGAGTTTAAAGCAAAGACGGAGGGATTTTCACATTGGTCCAATAGTTGAACAGAATAATCGATATTTTGTGGGTGTTTGAGGGCTATTGATGCAGCAAATTTAGATACAAGATCTGGGCCGTTGAGGAAACCATTGACTAGCAATTGTGAGTGAATTTACTTTTTTTTTTGTTTGTCATTAATTTCATAAAAGGAAAACTCTCGATATTATGTGGCAAAATAGCTTACCTAACATATACGAGAATTAATAAACAATTTCTTCTTATCAGAAAGTTGTTTAACGACATTACATGCCTTGGATATCTTCATACCAACCAACCTAATTAATGTAAGTCTCAAAAAAAACTCATGACACGTTGATTATTTATTGATCAATCGTTATCACTGTGCATTACCTATATATACTTGGTGCCTTGTACATTATTTTTCACAGGTTAATCTACTTCATTAATCTTCGATCACCTCTCAGAATCTTTTGACTCATCTTTAGCAACTCAAAAAAAATCCTACAATGGCTTCCACCTCCTACCTTTACATTTTTGCAATTGCACTATTCTCAATTACAACAAATGAGATGTGTTTTGCTTCCCGCAATTTGCTGCAAGCAACCACATTCCCGACACTACCACAACCACAGATACCAACAATCCCGACAATGCCACAGCCACAGATACCAACAATCCCGACAATGCCACAACCACAAATGCCCACCATCCCCACACTGCCACTACCACAAATACCCAGCATCCCTAACATGCCCAAAGTTTCCTTGCCTCCATTGCCTTCTATGCCTACCATCCCTAACTTTCCAACAACTCTTCCCAATATTCCTTTCTTTGCTCCACCACCTTCCAAGAACTAGATTGTACAACAATATCAAAAGAAAAGAAAATTCCATTATAGAGCTCAGGCGATTTGATTGATCCGGAGATTATAATGTTTTTTATTTGATCGCATTCATGATATTTGTGGCTAGATTAAATTATTGTCGAGTGCTCTCATTCACATGTTTTTGTGTTTTGTGTAATTTGATATACTTTATAATATATTTTTTCTATTAAGGTTTATGATTTCCATTACTTTATATCTCAAGTGTTTCCTCGTATATAAAATTAGGCAATATGTTTGATATATATTATATATACAATTAATTTCGATTGCTCTTATCTACAGTAGCAGGTTTTGAGCCAAGCCAAACCATATTTCCTTTGGCTGGCTGGTTTGAGCCTCGCTTATATCGGGCTCTGGTCGTTGAAATGGTACATGTCTGCTGCCCTCGCCACTATACTGCTTGATATCTATACACGTAGTACAACATCGTTTTTTCCATTGATTTCTCTTTCATCTGCCGCCTGTAATTCAATTCGATTCTCCGTCTTCAATTTTTTTATCTACACAAATACGGGCGAACACGATAAAGGTTTCTTTTGCATTTGTTGAAATTGCACACCAAGATTTTTATCTGCTCCGAATCATCTTTCACGGAGGGTTTTCTCCTAATTTTTATTATCGATATGAATCCTGTTCCCCTTCACCGACGAAGTTGTTCCACCGTCTTCTACACCCGTACGTCTTTTCTATCTATACTCTATTTTCTCAATTTTGTGGCTGTTCTTTCCGATTTCCGATCGTCGTTCTCTTTCGCAACAATCTGAATTATAAATTCGGTTATGGCCCCAGTTTTTTACTTTATCCAATGTGCGCCATTGGTGGTTTGGCCGACGGCTTTACAGTTTCCATTCCCGACTCCTTCAATCGCAATCTCCACCGTGTATTAGTCTGTCTTAATCTGTGGTTAGAAGTCGTTGACTTTAGCTAAGGTCCATCTTCTACTATTGATTTTAACCCTAGATCGATTGAAGCCTTAAATAAAATTTGTTCTCCTTCCACCTCTTCGATTGCAATCATCTGCTATCTCCGCAATTGACAATGCCATCAGAAGCTTCACCGTCTCCGGCAACGATGCCGACCTCCTGTTGTAGGTGAGTTTTTTTTTCTCTCCTGAAAATAGATTCTCATAAATAGATCGATTGTAAGTTGTTGGACCTGTTATTCAAGGAGCGAATAACATGGTAAAATCTTGAAGGGGGCGGTCTGTCATGCTTCCAAACCACTAGAGTTTTCGGATCCTGGGGAGCTGGTAGTGGGATTGAAGTAGCAGTTGGGTCCGTCCTTTTCTGAGTTTGGGAGTTTGGGATCAGGTATCACTGGAAGATAGTGTGTGGTATGAAATCCTCTTGGGTAGTGCTTCGCGGGCTGTTAGGTATTGATCTGTGAGGTGCTAAAGAACGATTTCAAGGGCGAAATCAAATTAAGTGGGGGAGAATTGTAACGTCCGTAATTTCGGGTATGATAGTTTGCGATTCAATTTTTGAGGATGTAGGAGGGCCTCGACGAGTCGAAGTTCTGACTCGCCGAGTCACATCGAGTTGATTATGTAGATTTAATGAGCAGGCTCGACGAGTCCAAGGACAGACTCACCGAGTAGGTTATGGGCAGAGAAAACCTAAGTTTCCGGAGTTGGGGCCTATTTAAGGGAACTTATGACCTTGGGTGTGCCTCATACCTCCTATGAGAAGCCCTAAATTGCCATTGGATCCATGAGATAGTTCTTATGATGAAATCAAGTAATTTGGTGGGTCTAATGGAAGGAAAAGAGCATGATTCAAGCAAGAAACGAGATGGTGGTTGTGGATCTAGCATTTCTTCATGTGGAACTGTTGTAGAAGGTATAAACTTGCATCCTTTTCATCTATTTTGGTTAGATTTCATGATCTTGGTAGTTATAGGGTTTTACTGCATTTCGTTTGTGCCTATGAGATAATTGAGACATGATCTGAGGAGGCAAACCTTATATCTGAACCTTGTGAGGTCCTTGAAGACTAGATGCCCCAACTTTAGTTGTCCAAATGAGGGCTGATGAGCTAAATCTTTCATGGAGGGCATGTAATGGCATTTTGAAGCAATAGCATCATGCATGAACGTAAAGATTGAAGCTTTACGTGATTATTGAGCCTTGAGATGATAGATCTATAGTTTAGAGTGATAGATCTGATTGAAATCGTCTGAATGAGAAAAGGGATGGATAGACTCATCGAGTCCATGAGACGACTCAACGAGTCGGTTAGGGTTTTCCTGGTCAAGCTGAATCACGTACTAACTCGGCGAGTTGTGGGGTTAACTCGACGAGTGGATTTGAATCCTCGCGAAACTTCAGAGAAAGTGAGTGGACTCGACGAGTCACAAGGGTGCACTCGCCGAGTCGGGTCAGATCTAGACTGTAGACTCGAGTTTGACTACAGTTGACTTTAGGGTTGGGTCAACCATGTGTGATGGAGGCCATGGTGGGGTAAAATGGTCTTTTACCCACTTCAAGAGTTAGACAGAGAAAGATAATACACTTGGATGTGTTTGAGTATGAGTAAGTATTGCTAACGGATGTTTATCCTATGTGTTAGGTGAAAGCTAGGTCGAGATTTCCGAGTGCGAGGCTGTCAGTTGGTTGCTTTCAAGGTAAGTCTTCTCACTATACTTTACCTAGAGTGGTAATTATGTGTGACCGGAAGGTTTTATGTGCTATAATGAGTATGCGATGTATGTTGTTATATGATATGTATGTGCTATGATATGTTATGAGTAGTATGATGTGGACCGAAAGGTCAACGGTGTATGGGCTGGAAGGTCAACATGATATGGACCAGAAGGTCTACCAGGATTATGGGACTAAAGTCCCCTAAGACACATTGACTGGAAGGTCTCGTAGAGTTATAGCATTGAGTGGCTAATTGTATGCACGTGATATTTTGGGAAAGTCACTAAGCATGTGTGCTTACCGTGTTATGTGTTATGCGTTTCAGGTTATTATCAGGATTGCGGGAAGGTGGCGGCTCGATTTTACACACAAAAGAAAAGAGTCATTAATGAGGATCCTGAATTTTGATAATTACTTTTGAAAACTATTTCGAAATACGTTATGACATCGATACTCGAGATTTTTTGAATTATTATATGTGACGTTGGAAATTTAAAATTGAAAATTTTGTTTGAAAATTTATGGTGTTACATGAACAAGATAGGTGTGCTACCATAAGCATATCTAGGTGGTTCCCGAGGTAGGCAAGGGAAAATTTTGGGGATAGCTTTTTACTTTGATCTTGGATCCGGCACTGTGTATATGTACTAAGAGTTGAGACATTGGCAACCATCCATGTGTAGATAATGAAATAAGTATTTCAAGGTAAGTTCATATAAGTAATATTATACAAAAGCCCTATATTTTACGCAGTACTTTTGTTACTAACCCCTAGGAAAAATATTTGAATTTTAATTATTAAATTTATAATCTAAAGATTGATATGCGAAACATTTTGTTACATATTTAAATGAAAGCTAGAAGCATTTATCAAGGATTGCGTGATGTTGTTATTATGTTTCCCAAGTTTGAAAGACATCAAACTACTTTAGTAGGTATATACAAAGTGCTACTATTCATATTTGGATTATAACTTTTAGCCTTTATAATTTTGTTTTTCAATTAATCTTTCATATATTCGTGAAGTTGCTACTATCCATATTTGGATTATAACTTTTCAGCTCTAATTTTGATGTTTGTGATATGATTTCAGGAAGCAAATATGGCAACCAACAACAAGTCTTGTATTTTGCCAGTTATATCTTCCATCTTCTCAAGTGTTCTTAAACATCAATTAAACACTATATCTTTAAAGCACTTAATGTGGAAAAAAAAGTCTTAACTATACCTCTTTATGATGTTCGTTGCTTTCTTTAACATGTGCTTTTACTATATAAAGCATTTCCTTTTTTCATTCTTTTACAGCCACTACCATATGATTGATTGGTTTGTCACTATCGCCAAAAGTGGATGGAAAAGCATGTTTTTGGTATTGAAATTTCCGATTTTTTTAGTATAGCATGTTCATATAATTTCTAATTATGGGAACATTTAATTTGAAAGAATGTTGCTAGTTTTTTTATTCGAGTTGAAAGTATGTTATTATTAATAAAATGATATGGCTTAATGTTTAATTTGGTGTAAACATTGTTATTATTTCTTTGCTAATTTGGAATTTCATATGTGACATTTGGGTACGGATTAGTGATAGATTCAACACCTAATAGACCATTGCTAATTATATAAGTAACAATCATTAAATTTATAGAAAAATTGTTCCTTTATAGATAATCAACAACGGATAAGCGACGATAATTAGTGACAGATCTTTGACAAAATGTACTTGATCGAAAAGTCTTCCGCGATACCCCATCCCTCGTTGATCCGTTGCCGACCATTAGCGATCATTGATTGGCCTTAGCGACGGATTTCCCGATGGAAATTCATCACCGATACCAACGTTTCTATTAGTGCACCACATATGAAAATCACATCAATCAAGGGCTTCCACCTTCTGTCTCCGTGTAACTAAAACTAAATTTAATTCTAGATTTAATGTTATACTTTTAACTATTATCATGATTATTTAATCCAAATTTTACTTATCTAGTCAATTCTAAACCGGTCCATAAATTGGGTTGTAACCTTGTAATAACAAGAGCTGAACATAATCTGGGTTAGTCCAATTCTAAACCGGTCCATAAATTGGGTCCAATCACTACTATCTTCATACCTATTTAGGTGGTGACATGTGTCATTCAATTTAACTTAAATTAGATTGAAATGTTAAATATGTACACTTGTCACAATCATAAATATGTATGAATAAAAGGTAAGAGGATTTTTAATTTCTCTGAACTAAATATAGTTGAGGCAATTGTAAAGGCTAGTTTTATTAGATTCCTTTTGTTTGATCTATGTTCATATATGTACATGATTTGGGTAGTAACCTTGTAATACCAGAGTTGAACATAATCTGGGTTAGTCAGATTCTAAACCGTCCATAAATCGAGTCCCATTAAAATATAGGCAAATGTGGATTGAAATAAATATTGTTGAGGCAATTGTTAAAGTCAGTCTGGTACTACCGGTACGGGTTAAGTTTTATTAGATTCCTTTTTTCTGCTCTAATGTGCTTGGTCTTTTTTTTTTTTTTAATAATAGAAACAATTTTTTTAAATACCTTATAACACTATTAATAATTATAGAGCATTAAGTGGTAAAAATTTATAAATTGACTTTTTTAAAGTAATTAACTAAATGTTTTATAAAACTTACAAAAAATGCAATGGAAACTAAAAACATTCCAAAAAAATGCATTGAAATGGTAAGAACTAAAATACCCATTAAACTTGCAAGAATTACAAAAACAAGCAATTAATTCTTGACAACAGCTTTCGACTTCATTTTATGCCTCACAACATCAACACCATTCAAATTCTTAAAATCGGCAAAAACATTCGACAACTCCACATATACGGACAACTACACATACGCACCTTCATTGTTAGCCTCTGATTCCTCCATCTTTCTAGACGCAAGTTTAGCCATTTCCACATTTTTATAAATCCTGTTAGGATTTAGCAGTGCACCCCATGCTTCAGCAATCGGTGCACATGACATACTCTGGATGAAGCGTAATGATTCATCCAAACGGCTCAATCGGCCGTATAAATCAACCATACATCTATAATGCTCTACTCTTTGGTCATACATTTAGAATGCTTCCAACCGTCTTCAACAAGACACGCTACACTACAAGCCTTTAAGATTGAAAGGAAAGTGACCTCATTTGGTGTGATGTTTTCTTGTTGCATAAGGGTAAAAAGGTCCAGATACTCTTTACCATAACCATGCATGGCTAGTCCTCCCATGGCACCACTCCATGTGTACACATTCTTTTCTTTCATCACCCAAAAAACATTCATTGCCGTCTTAATACCCCCACACTTTGCGTACATGTGGACTAGTGCACTACCAAGAGTTGTGTTGATTTGTAATTTTTTATACTTTATATATCTATATGCCGGTTGTCCCGCATCTAAAGCACTTAACCGAGTGCATGCAGATAATACATTAACCTTCAAACCTTTCATTTCCATTGCGTTAAACAGTTCGAGTCCGTTTAAAGGCTCCCCGAAACGCACGTACCCTGCTTTCATTGCGTTCCAGGCAATCACATCTCGGTCGAGCGTTATTTCAAACTGTTGGCGTGTGAATTTGATATCTCCTAACTTTGCACAGGCGACCACCATTGTTGTCTGAGTTACCAAATCTGGGTTGTTGATGCTAAAAAACATATCTTTTAAGTCCCTAAGAGACCCCATTTCAGCGTACAAATTAATCAACCCGCTTTGAACATGTGGGTCTTGATCCAAGGCGTATTTCAAAGCAGTCCCATGTACAGCAGCAGAATTGATCTAGAACGTAAACAAGTAATTATCAGGTTTATGATTCGATTTTACAATTCTTTTATAGAAATCGAAGCTTTTTTCAGGAGTTGAGCTCTCTTGGAGTAAACTTTGATTGGAGAGTTTAAAGCAAAGACGGAGGGATTTTCACATTGGTCCAATAGTTGAACAGAATAATCGATATTTTGTGGGTGTTTGAGGGCTATTGATGCAGCAAATTTAGATACAAGATCTGGGCCGTTGAGGAAACCATTGACTAGCAATTGTGAGTGAATTTACTTTTTTTTTTGTTTGTCATTAATTTCATAAAAGGAAAACTCTCGATATTATGTGGCAAAATAGCTTACCTAACATATACGAGAATTAAAAAACAATTTCTTCTTATCAGAAAGTTGTTTAACGACATTACATGCCTTGGATATCTTCATACCAACCAACCTAATTAATGTAAGTCTCAAAAAAAACTCATGACACGTTGATTATTTATTGATCAATCGTTATCACTGTGCATTACCTATATATACTTGCTCCCTTTTACATTATTTTTCACAAATTAATCAACTTCATTAATCTACGATCACCTCTCAGAATCTGTTGACTCATCTTTAGCAACTCAAAAAAAATCCTACAATGGCATCCACCTCCTACCTTTACATTTTTGCAATTGCACTATTCTCAATTACAACAAATGAGATGTGTTTTGCTTCCCGCAATTTGCTGCAAGCAACCACATTCCCGACACTACCACAACCACAGATACCAACAATCCCGACAATGCCACAGCCACAGATACCAACAATCCCGACAATGCCACAACCACAAATGCCCACCATCCCCACACTGCCACTACCACAAATACCCAGCATCCCTAACATGCCCAAAGTTTCCTTGCCTCCATTGCCTTCTATGCCTACCATCTCTAACTTTCCAACAACTCTTCCCAATATTCCTTTCTTCGCTCCACCACCT